TTAAAATGTGTCTTTCCTTCTTCATTGCAGCAAGAATTGTCATTTTCTTTCTTTCATTTTTATAGCTTTTGGATTTAAAATGTATATGTATCTAACAGTAACAGATACATACCTGTATATTGTAGGAAATGAGTTTTGTTTTCAGAGAACGCTGAAGCCTCTTTTCTCCTGGAAAACTAGTTGTGTTACGTGCTCCCACCTTTGTCACAGAACAGGCCCTTGGAAGGGTTCTCTTTTTGATGTGCGTGAGTCTGTAGAGGTACAATAGATTCATTCAAGAAAGGAGGTTACTTCTCTGACTCAATTAAAATCATTGCGTACCCCTTCTCCGTTACAATGTTCAAACTGAATTGACTTGAATTAATTGTTCTAAAAAGAGTGGAGTAGAAATCAGGAATTGAGTTTGGTTGGAAATTAGCAGCTGAGAGATGAAGGTGCCAGGATTTTTATTTAAATGTGGTACAACAAGATTCTGTCAGTAAAGCACATCATTAGAATATTGAGTTTAGAACTGCTAATTTTTCCTTTAAAATGAGCATACAGTCATGTGTTTCATGGACCATAATAAATTGCCATTGTGTTGTCATTGAGTTTGTTTTGCTTTTTTTTCAGTACTGGTTTGGCAGTCATTCTGCATTTTCTCTTTCCTTTTTTACCCCCGATCTTACTTTTTTTTTTTTTTAATAGATCCCTCACCAAAACCAGTCAAACGAATGTTATTTATTTCATGCAGTCTTAGGTTTATGCATCTTCTGCACCATTTTCTTGCTTACGGTAGCAAGACATTTGCAGATGGTTCTTGGTTACTATAAAGTACATAACAGTATTTCCTTTGTGGCAGATGGATTTAAGACTTTTAGTTCTCAATAAATGTAGGTTTACAATACATAACTTTACAGGATTTGTGTTGTATATAACAGGTTTGAACATATTATCTCAGAATTCATCTGCATGGCATTTTCAGCTTATTCAGGGTTCATGCCAGTTTTTTTTAAGTAATAGGGGGAGCGCTGTGATTGATAGCAACAGCTCAAGGCGTGATTTTGAATAGAAACAAAGGGTTTAGAACAGAAGGTGTCAAATTAAACTTCGTCAGTTTGAAAAGTAGTAACATCCTGAAAGTTTTACTAATTTATTTACATGTGGCTACTGTTTATATTTTGCCCTCTTTATATGCAGTGTAATGTTGCTTGGCAAATTTACTACATTTAAAGTTTAGGTTGTTCCTTGTACCATTTTAGTTTTTGAGAATGGATCCGTCTCATTATTTTAAGGCTGTTACTCTCCTGTCTTTTCTACTGTACGGAACAGTCGTGATCTAATTTAATTTGGAGAGTAGCTCACTACTCCTGCCTATGGTCTTACAATATTTCAAGTCCCAGAGACCACTCTTAAAAATGTAATTATGTTCACATTTTGCAGCAAAGTACTGCATTTCATTTCTTGTCTCTCCCCTACCAAGTAAATCTATACATTTGTCATTCAAAAACTAATACAGTACTTAGGGGAATCATCATTATTTGTCAGATATTACAATATTCTGACATGTTCATTGTCTTACCAAGTTTATTTGCTCTAACAGTATCACTTATGGAAAAGTGACCTAGTAAAAGATATTGGGGAATTAGAAAGCTTTTGGCTTTTTTAGTCACTTTGGGCAAAACATAGATCAGATTACTGTCATCATTAATAGAGTCTCAATTGATAGGATCTGAGGCAGTCAGAATATTCCAAGGTATTTAAATAGTATGAGAATGAATTAATCTTATTTTTGCCAGCGTAAATTGGGAATGAGCCAGTGTCTCTACTGACAAAGAACTAGTGTGTCAAAATGTCTGTTTTCCATTATTTTTTAAGAGATACATACATCAAGAAAAGCACTCCACGCTTTTAGTTTAGTTTTTTTTTTTTTTTTCTTTCTTTTTGGAATACCCTTGTAGAACTAACAGTTCCCAGCTGCACCGTTAAATATTTTTCTAAGAAGCATCTGATTTCAGTCTCTTAAAATCATCATGTCTCTTGAAAGGCTAGCAGAGACATGCTTCAGACTTATAATTCATCAAATTATTTTTAGATAAGGAATTAGAAATATTATTTAAGGGCAGAGGTTAATAGCAAACTACTGGAAATGTTATGTTAGTCATGGACAATTAATAAAAATAAGGATCCATCTCATAAGTATAGATACACAGAAGTGACAATATGAGCAAAATATTTGTTGAATGAGTCAGGGCTCCTTTTCTGAAATATTTGTTAAACCAGCATGAGTGTGATTGTTTAGGAATTAGCTATCATTATTAGCCATTTTAAAAGAACTAATGATTTTCTTTTCCAAAGAACATCTGTGATCCACATGTTTTTTCACATATATCCGAGTGCTAACTGATCTGTTACTTTAAGAAGTTCTAAAGGATTGGAAAAATTATTGGAGTTTTTCAGCTCTCTCCAAGAAGCATTTCTTATGTGAATTGTTCTTAATTTAACTTTTAGCAATTTATAGTTACAAATGTTTATTTCTTAAAAAAAATCTTAGATATTCCATGTTTAGCACTTACTGCAAGAGTATACAATACCAGCTAAGTACAAAAAAACTACCCTCCCCAGAATAACTTTTCTGTTGTTTTTTATGAACCTTCTAACATCTTGAAAGGTCAATAGAATTGTAGCAATTTGCTCTGTTCAGGCATGGGGGCCTCTCAATTTGCCGTAAGTAAAGAATGGAGACAAAGGAGAGGAGCGTCATCTTCACTATAGTTAATATTCAAGCCTGCAGGAAGGTGTGTATCTAAAACCTGCACAACATCAGAACTTAGAGGTAAAGTGTAAAGAAGTAGTTGAGATATAGGAAAATATAAAATGTTTTCATGGCTCAATCCAGATAGCAAATATTTGCCAATAAGAGCTAAATAAACATCTCCAGGGCACCATATGCAAGTGGGTCTCAAATACTTCAAATACTCAAATACAGTTTGAGAGTTAATATTATACTCATATAAATAGAGCTAAAATATGACACATCATCATATTTTTCTGGAAATAAACATAGAGTTGCTGTGGTTAGAAAAGAAGCATATTCAGTGACATTCTAATCACAATTATTATTTTTTTAACTAATATTCTCTCAGGTAAATCTTCAGTTTACTGCTTGCTCTCTTAGCCTTGAATTACACATTCAGTGGCATTGAATGGGTGCATGATTGCATGACCGACCCCTTGTACGTGTTTGTTTAATTACAAGACCTGCGGAGTAGAGAAACAAATGTCTCAGAAAAATTAGTAGATCTCATGAGGTTTAGCAACAGTCACTCACCCTTGGCTGGTTAATATGTGGGCCTTGGGAAGTTGATGTTATCAGCTTTCCAGCTTTTCTTTTAAATTCTCTCAAATCAGCCCTTCGAGGAAGAATGGGCCTTATTTCTTTTCACTGCATATTGCAGTTGGAAGGGGAAGGAGAATTTTCTCCAGTGGCTCAGTTTGGGATGAAGAGAAGAGAAGTCATACCATTCTCTGGTCTCACCCCCAATAACAATCACAACACACACACAGACGCACACACGCACACACACACACACACACTCTCTCTCTCCTTTGCTAGTTCTAAAAATCAGATAATAAACTGTTCTCATTCCACTCTCATCCAAGTAATTTACTTGGAATTTCCAAGGAATCCCTTCATCTTAGGTCAAGTCCCTAAAGCAGAGCCTAAGACAGGGCATCAGGTGTCTATGATTTGGTGAAGAACCTGGAAGAAGTGAGGGAGGATAGGGAAAAGGAAGGGGTCCAGTAAGATTATGGTCTCAGGTAGTCTGTATTGATGGGGGGAGGGAGCAAGCAGAAGGGGGAGGGCCATCTCCAGAGAGTAAATTGAAGGATTAAGTGAGTTGTCCCTTTGGAGGAAGAGGGCAGGGACATTGTACCCCTGGGTAAGCCAATCACTGGCCACCCCAGTGTGTGAGGGAGTCAGCGAGGATGTGGAATAACTGTCCAGTCATCTCCAAGTGAGGTGACTCCAAACACGGCTCCAGAAAAGAGTATGGCTGTGAGCTTTTAGCAGGCAGCACGCAGCTGGAGATGGTTGCCTTACTAGGTGAAGGGGGTCTGGGTGGAACAGTCCCTCTTACTCTCCGCCCCATTGCCTAGCGTCCATCATGCAGCTGAGATGAAGAACGTTTGGGATGAGGATTAGAGGTTTTGTTAGGTGATGTACTCTTTTGGACCACTCAGTTCTGAATAATCTGAGGACCAAAAATAGGGCCTTAGGGGAGTCATCAGAGAGGTGCAGGTTTTGGCATTCATTGGACATTTCCTTCTCTCTCAGTTCAGGAAATCTATTAAAATTCTTGTCTGGTGAATCATATGTTGCACACTGCAGTGGGCAGAAAAAACAGGCTCTGAGATGTCTTTCTGGAAAGTTGTTTCTTGGAGAAGTCTTCTAACACCCATTCTGATGATTATGCTTTACAATGGACAACATTCTTGCTCACTCTATAGCACGTGTCCTTTCTCTGTCACACACACACACACACAATTTACACATAGTTTCCTTCCAAATATAAAAATCATGAACTTTGGGAATCCTTTTAGGAAACAGATTATTTTAAAAAATCTATCTTATCTCTTAAATACCTTCAGGAACTCAGATGGCTGCTCGTCAGACAAGAAGGCTGGGCAAGATGAGAAGCACGTTCAACTTTGCTTTTCTCCTATTTCACGTATTGCAAAGTCCGTGGTAAATGTGTCTTGCCCTTGGAATCTTAAAAAGCATGGCTCTTTTACAATGCAAATCTGAACATTTATTGGAAACAGCCTGCCTCCTTGATAGCCTCAGCTACTTTCTCTTAACAGGTTAAAAAACTTTTTTTTTTTTTTTTAAAGCAGATTGCAGTGTTTTTGAGCTTAGGAAAAAAGTTAACTTCACAGGGTCTTTTCTTTTTAGCCCTTACTGGAAAGTATCAACCCCCCACAGGCACAAACTGACCTATTATGCCCTTGTCTCTAAGGGGTGGTTGTGTGAGCTGTTGCGCTGGAAAGAAGATCCTTCTCCAGAAAACAGGACTCTGTGGGAGAACCTCTCCATGATCCGAAGGTTCCTCAGTCTTCCTCAGCCAGAACGTGATGCCATTTATGAACAGGAGAGCAATGCGGTGCATCACCATGGCGACAGGCCGCCTCACATTATCCATGTTCCAGCGGAGCAGATTCAGGTTCGTTTACCTTGGCCGATTCAATATAGCACTAAGTAAATAGAGCTTTAAACTTAGCTGGGAAATTAGCGTTTCTCTTCTTCCCGCCAGTCTAAACATAGGCTTTAGCAAGAGATAACGATACACTGCCATCTTGCTCAGGGGAATAAAAGGAAAATTAGCACACTTTTTTCGGCATGTGTATTGTGTTCCTCTTCCCTCATCTCCCCACCCACTAAGTGGCAGGATCCCCCTTTTTTGCCCTACTGGTTTGGCAAGTGCGTCTTTGTTAGAATTGTTTTTTTGTGTGTGAGAGCTCAAATTTTTTTAATGACTATCAATACTGCCCTTTTGGAAGGGAATTAACTGCCGTTTCTGTAGAGAAGGTTTGTACAATCTCAACTTTCTACCTTGGATACTGTCCAAAGAGAGGAGGGGAGGGAAACCTAATTGGAATCTTGTTTCTGACTCCTCGGCCCTTCCTTCACCTTGTAGCTGTCTCCCTACAACCTCACAGAACACAGGTTAGGGGTGAGTCATGTCTGTTTGTCTTTCCTTTAGAGCCCCTCTCCCACCACCCTTGGGAAAGGAGAGTCTAGAGGCGTTTTCTTACCGGGCCTGCTGACCCCTGCACCATGGCTCAGTGCTGCTCCCCAGGTGAGCGGGCACAAGTTACCTATGCCAGCAAGAGAGGGGGTGGTATAAAGACCTGCTCCCTTGGTCAGAATTTTCAGACTTGGCAGAGGACGGACTAACCATGGTGGTGGCCAAAGACCACTGTGCCAGCAGATTCAGCCTTGTGCTTAGCTGGTCATGTCATGGGACTTACCTGCATTCATCCACTGAGGGAACCCCCCTATGAATCTAGATTGGAAGCTCTGGGATCAGGTAGTTTGTGGTGCCCTATGGCCTTGATTTCTAAGGAAGCGTGTTGAATGAACTGGAACTATACAACCTTTTCCTGTTAAATCTAAGGGGATGTTTTTAGCTTTTCCCTTTAAGAGAAAATGCCACTGCCTTCCAGAGTCCTAAAATTCTACTGTCTTTTTTGAATCACCTGCATTATTTTTTTGGTATTGCTGTGGGGGTGGGTGGGGAATATATTTATATAAATATATATACTTATACAATACATACAACATATACAATATATTATTGTTTTAGCTATATATATCGCTAAAAACAATAATAGGGTTATCCATCCACTAGGGAAAAAAAAAATCCTTGAGTATGTATTAAAGATAAATTGGAAAAGAGAATCCCTTAGGATATCAAGCACTAAATAATCATGAAAGCCTGAAAAACTTACTGTTTAGCAAAAACAAAAAAAAGAGAAAGGTATATGTATAGTAATAAAAATAGTACTTGTTTGAAGATGTAAATTGTTTTTAATAAAATTGTTTCTTAGGGGATAAAAAGAAAGGCTTAGGCACAGTAAAAACGCGCTAATATTTTGCCGCTTACAGGTTGATTTGCTTTGATGATAAGAATTATGGTTATAGAGTATACAGTATGTGCATGTGTCACACATTTGTTACGTATAATTGTGTATGGAAATTACAGCACATATACAGACACTAATTATGAAGAAGTGTCTGTATACACTAAATTTAAATCCTAATCACATGAGTTTACTATAGACAAAACAATTTGCTAGCCGTTGTACAGTGGATCAAACTTTTATTTTTCAGTAAGAAAAAACTTGCAGTGTCAGCCTAGTGCAATTTGGTAAGAAATTGTGTGTGTATTAAATCCGAACTGACTGGTAGGAAATTCACAAACGTGAGAATCTCAGAAATCCTTTGGAGTCTGAAGGGATAATGCGGAAGAACAGCAGGCATTTATCCATTTTATTTGGAATTTAAATAAGACTTTCTATTCTTGCTCCATGCTTTAGCCATGGATGAAATGGGGCAAAACACAGGTTTCTTCCCCCACGGCTTTGTAGCACTCCCTTCTAAAATGCCTTTGAAATCCTTACTCCTCAATCTTCATATTAGATCTTTGTTAATTATTTACATCATAATTTGCTTTGCTGTCTTCGCCTTCTGATGCGTATCCTTGTGGTGAAGTTCAAGGCTCACATTTTCAGCGTGCTGAGCTTTCACTTCCGTGAGCCAGGCTGAAAATGAAGGGCAGGGAGGCTCCACTGACCCCTGATGAGGAAGCCCAGTAGCCCCCCAAAACCCTACTCAGGCCTCCCCTTCCTGGTTCTTATCATTTTGCCTTCTTTCCCTGTTGCTGTGTGCCATCTGGCTGGCCTCCCTTTTGGTCCTGAATCTTTGTCCCACTTGAAGGAGCTCCAGGTGGGAGAAACTACAGGTGGGATCCCCAGCCCCCAGTTTCCTCCTTCCAGCCGGCTTTGTCCGCCGCCGCCCGGAAGGGAAGACGGAGCTCTGACTGTCCACTTGTTTCTTTGCAGCAGCAGCCGCCCGCGCAGGCGCAGCAGCAGCCGGCGCCACCACCTCCCCAGGCGCAGGCGCAGCAGCCTGCCGGGCCCCGCCTCCCCCCACGGCAGCCCACCGTGGCCTCTCCCGCAGAGGCCGAGGACGAGAACCGGCAGAAGACCCGGCCACGAACGAAAATTTCCGTGGAAGCCCTAGGCATCCTCCAGAGTTTCATCCAAGACGTAGGCCTGTACCCGGACGAAGAGGCCATCCAGACTCTGTCCGCGCAGCTTGACCTGCCCAAGTACACCATCATCAAGTTCTTTCAGAACCAGCGGTATTATCTGAAGCACCACGGCAAACTGAAGGACAACTCCGGCTTGGAGGTGGATGTGGCCGAATACAAGGAAGAGGAGTTGCTTAAGGATCTGGAAGAGAGTGTCCAAGACAAAAATGCTAACACCCTTTTCTCGGTGAAGCTAGAAGAAGAGCTGTCAGTGGAAGGAAACACGGACATTAACACTGACTTGAAAGACTGAGATCAAAGTATTATTTTCATTCATCAGTGCCACTGGTATTTACTAACGAAAGGAGAAGCCCACCTGTATCTCTCAGAAAACCTTTGTTGTTCATTGTTTGGCCCATGAATCTTCAGAAACTTGCACAAACAGGAAAGTGGAGAAAGGATAATGCAGACTGCACTAAATGTTTTACTCTGTTTTACAAACTGCTTGGCAGCCCCAGGTGAAGCATCAAGGATTGTTTGGTGTTAAAAATTAAAATTTGTGTTCACGGGACACATCAAAGTGTGTACCCCATAAGCATGATACCGGTGATTTTTTTTTTTTTTTTTTGAAATATTCTTATTCTGGAGCCTCAAACAAGCATTATAACTTCTGTGATTATTATTTCCTTCCTTTAATTATTTCTGTAACACTCCACACTGATCTTTGGAAACTCGCCCCTTATTTTAAAAAAAGAAAAAAAAAGAGTTTGTTACTCTATTGTATGTTACAAAAGAACTATAGACTGTGGAATGCAGTTTAAAGATGACATATGCCAACAAATGCCTTGTATTATATGGCACTGCCGTAATTCAAATTTGATTTTATTTTCGAAATAAAAGTTCACTGTAATTTTTTTCATTCTCATTGTTACATGATTTTTTAAAAAATGAAAAGAAAATGTGAAACACAATTTAGTCCTCATTATTTATTTGTAGATCCTGCAGCATCATGTTGTAATTAATTTTTTGGAAGTTTCCGTTAAATGTAATATTGCTTCTCTTGTTACCATACTGATTCTTTTCTATTTATAAATGTATTTTGATGGGCAGTAAAACAAAGTGTCTTAAAAGTTTTAAATAGAGAAAATGTGCTTTACACAGTTGCCTATAAAAAGTGCTCTATGTTATCCAAGCAATTCATACTATAAGCTTCACTCTTATTGTTGTATGCAATTTTTACTATCATGCAAATAAGCTTAGGTAAATAAAACTAATAGATCACCTTAGAAAATTATGCAATTAATGTGAAAATAATTGATGTTTGCAATGTGTCTTCCTTTGGTTTACAATCAATTTTAAAGCTACATCTGTATAAAATTTCTGTATAAAGGTGTATTTCTTTTTTTATGAGTTTATGGCTATGAAAACACCAGCTATTTTGTTACAGCTGGCTGTTTTTATAAGTGTATCACAATTTTCTTTATGCAGAAATGTTCTGATTAGGAGTGGTTATTGACTGTAACTACACAATTAAAATTGTTTGTATGGTATGACATGGTAGGGTTGTCTGCTTATGTGAAGTAAGTTTAAAGAGTCAAAGATGGCCCTCTCAGTTAGGTGCATGTTAATATTTTCTTGATGATATTTTACTGATTTTAAAAAGAACGATTGAAAAGTCACTCGAAACACTGTAAATTTTAATCACAAACACATGCTCATTTTTTAAGTTTAACAACGAAGACCATAACCTGTTTGGGGTTAACATTTTGCTTAATAAACAGAGATAGAAGGATGGTCAGAAGACCTGCCAAGAAAAACGTAAATACACTCTCTAGGAGTTATGTGCTTAGAATGAATCCATCTGCATTTATTTCACAATATTTAATTATGGTAACACTTTTTTTAAGCTAATGTATAAATATTTTAAAGGCATTTATCAAGTAACATAAGTAGGTAAAAAATGGACCTTCTGTATAAAAACCTCTTAGTAAGCAATGTATTTTTTTAAGTTATAAACGGAATATAAGTTAAGAACTCTGAGCTCATTTGGTTGTGTATGTCATAACTCTAAGAACTGAATGAAGAAAATAAGAACAACACATGTGGACTTTAAACACCATCTTCAAAATTCTTGCAACATCAAACTCCATACACGCCGCGATATAAAATGAGGTATACTGGTGGTTATGGAAAAGATTGAGGCCAGGGTTTCGATTTTTGATTATCATTTTGTATTCTTTTTATCTTTTGATGCATCTTTTTAAGACTTCTAGATGTTAAGAGGGGTGTGTGGGTTCCTTGATAGTTGGTTCTGAAAGTGTCCAGTCTCTTCATGCCTAACATTTTTCCAGGCACTGATGAGCTCATTGGTAGGCAACTGGGCTGCTTTAATGTTGAACTTTTACTTAAGAAACTAAAATGGCATCATTGAAGACTCCCAATTCAGCTGTAAAAGTACTATTTACTTTTGAAGCACAGCTGAACTGCTTTGAAGGCAGCTGGTTTGCTGTAACTTAAAATTGTATTGAAAAAGTTTTCAATTCTTTTTATTAAATGAGAGGACAACTTTTAAACATTCTTGCTCACTTAGAGTTCAGAAAACCATTTGAGGAAAAGAAATTTGAACTAATAAAATAGAAATTTGATTTCATGTAGTTAAAAAAAAAAGAAATAGAAAGTAATATGCCATGAAGTTTTTTAAGAAATCCTTTCTTCCTCTTTTTTTTCCTCTGGGTTTGGAGGGAAAAGCTAGAGCAAGGAGTAGTCTTTGATTTTATTTATTTATTTTTTTTAATCCAGCCCAGCAGAATATAAGGTGCCAGAAATTTTAATTTTTTTAGAAGGAAAAATTGGGTTGCAAATACGATTTTGCCATTCCCAATAAGCTAATTTCTTTCGAAATAACATTTTGGATGAATTTGATGACTGTGTGTAAGAAATCAATACAAGACTAATAATACTCTTCCTTAGACCTTTTAAGCAGCATAATCTTCCTAATACAATATTTTAAGCCGAAAATAAATGAAAGCACATATCAAAAAAGTGATGGTCATGATGGAGTGAGCAAAATCGTTTTCAGGGAAGACGGCACAATTTGGAAATGATTTCTTGGGTGATCTTCCACATTGCTCCCCCAATGTCATTCATCGTCCACACCAGTCCTCTTACTGCCAGTGGCTACAGTAAAACTCCTTGAACCAGCTTCATGGTGTCCAAGTATTTCAGAAACTTTTCAAAGCTGGGCATGATATAGCGGCTTTGTGCTGTTAAGACCTTAGCAGAGTCAGGTAGTTTACGGGTAATATTCAACCTCGTGCATCTGAATCGGTCATGGATTCCTTCCCTCAGCATTTTGCCACTAATTTGTATTACACACTGTGGCCATATAATACTTGCACGTTATGCAAAAAATAATGTTGACAGTATCTCCTTGGCACGTAATATGCAGAGCTGACGCCTAACCTTTGAAAACCAAGGTAACTAATATGTGTGCCCTAGTTGTGTGGCACTTGGTTAAAAAGTCTGTACATATTATGTATAAACTGTGTATTGATTAACATTTAGTCCTAAGGAATTCTGAGCTTAAAAGAAGTGTCTTTTTTTTTTTCCAAGTAGTGATATCTATATCTAACTGTGCTTATCTAAAATATATAGCTTGAGTAGAAAACATTTTCAGATGGTTCAGCAATGAGTAAAAATGACAATCCCATACATTCCATTATTAAATTCTGCCCTATTCCCTATTGTTATCATCAGCTGATATTAAGGTCCTTGATTGTCACGATATTATCAATAAATGAGGTATTCTGAACTGCCTGGTGATATTTTCAAAAGAGCAATTAAAATGTGTATACCCTATTATATAGCCAATAAAAATAGGACTACTTGGCTGAAGGAAGCCAAAAATCTGCATGATAGTGTAGAAACCAAGGAAGGTCCCAAAATATGAATCACATTTAAAATATCAGAAGATACTGATGCTATAGTTTATCTTACAAATAAATATTTTTTACTTTTAAAAGGGGCATATTATGGATTCAGTGTTTCTTAAGAGGCAATCCTTTTAATGTAAATACTAAATACTTGCATGTCTTTTGACAAAGGTTAAATTACAATCTATTAAGATGCACATTTTTTATAAAATATAAAGTACCCCTATTAAAGAAATGTGGTGGAAGGTATATGTCCAGAATACTATTACCTGTTTAACAATACCAAATGTTAAATAAAAATAGTTTGGAATTAATGTTTAAAAAATGAGCAACATTTTTAAGCCTTTCTTATATTACCCTACTTATCTGAATCATGCATTTCCAAACTTATCAAAATAATTCCAAAAAGTTCCATTATGGCTTCTTGCCTTATACCAGGATTGTGTACGAAGTCCCCTTCTGTCAACTATTTTCAGCTGTTAATATTCCTATTGTGGTCAAAAGCATGAGACTTGGGCCCCATTCTCTATGATCATGTTTGATGAGGAGATGCAGTAAAACAGTACCTTGTACTTGTTGCCTCGCCAAGGAAACAGAAAAACTCTAAGGTGACCTATTTTGCTCTAAATTAAATATTGAACGTTATTTCTGTACCATTAGTTGAATTTTTTTATTGTTATTATTTGCTTTTTGTGGCATTTAAATACTTTTCATTACAGTGACAGAATCTAATCACGTTTTTACACCCTCCCCCCCAAAAGATATGATGCCGCATGTGCTGCTCTGATATTCCACTCACAAAAAAAACAAACAGTACATGTTAAAGGAGGATGTTGGGAACTTTCCAATGTTGAATGTCCGTTAATTCATCGAGTGTGCGGCAGAGTGATGCAAAGTGAGCATTTGTTCAGAGCACGAACCTGTCCCAACAGCATCTTAATGTGGGGACAGGTTTCACCTACTCCACTTTTGTTTCCCATTTGAACTTCCAAATTTTACCAAATCTCTCTCAATGGCTTCTTAACCTTCTGAGAGCCCCTGAATCGCAGCACACTCAGACATGCTTTAAAGGAAAATAGCAACATCATTCGTAGAATGTTTCGTTATAGAAGGTACTGCCCCCAACCTATCTCCGTTCTGCTCTGAGGCACTGAAGGCAGGCTCTGAAACTCCCCCTTCAAAGACCAGGGAGGGGCAACTCAAACAGGCTGATTTGTTCAGCTGTTCAGCGGTCTCATCGGTTTCAAACCCAAGCCCTCTACCCGTGCATTCCTGTGGCTACTTCTTAATAAAACCTTTTCAACTGCAGAAGATGTAAAAACATTCATTACCATTCAAAATTTTCAGAAATCTAATGTAGTGTGTATTCTGCTAACATGAAAAAGTCTGTCACAGAGTAATTGAAATCAAGTGTATGAAATGTTAACCCCCAGATTCTGCTGTCCTGGTGTAAGAGCCATATACACAAAATCTTTTTTTCTAAAAAACAAAATACACTTTGTTATAGGAATGTTCAGATATACCAAAAAAAAAGGTAGAATAATGTAATGAACCGCTGATGATTCATCCCCAGTTCAACAATTGTAACATTTTCCCATTAATAAGTACTTTGTGAAACTCATTAAAATTAAGATGAAACTTTTATGAAAATATTCAAACTGTTCAGTGGTTTTTGCCTATAATGATATTCTGACATTATCTTACTTTTTGGAAAGTAATGAATTTTCTGATTTCTCAAGAAAATACTGAAACGAAGTTTCTCTCTGAACTCTCTGAGAATTTTCAAAAAGCCAATTTTAGAAGGAGAACCTGTGAGAATTCCACAAATATTTGTAATATAAAAAAAGAGACAACCCAGCCTCTCTTTATTTATAAACAATACGTGCTTTCATATCATTGTTGAAACTAAAATACATAATTTTCAGTTATGCATAATAAAGTATGTAATTAAGCAACATTCCATAGTGGATTAAAGAATTAAAAGCTTCAGGTGCAGAAAAGAATTTGTTGGCATTTTCTTTTTCAGGGTGGTATTTCGAGGTGTTACTTTTCATTTTCCTTTGACATCTTATACACAAATAAATAGAAACAGGTGAGAAGCAGAGAAATGAAGTATTGTCTCTACTACAGTAAACCTGAAAAATAGTGAGGTAGCATATTTGCAATGTGCCCACAAATGCTAAACTAAAAAGGACAGAAATCTTCTTAGCCTGGGGAGGAAAAAAAAAAATCTCTAAATGGGGGTGTGTGTTTCAAGAAATAGAAATAACATACTAAAAATTAACTGCACTTGATCATTCCTACATTTCAAACTACATTAAATTAATCACACTCCAATCGGTCAAGTCCAGTAGACTTATTTTTCAAGCGAAGAACTACATTTAATTAATAATCCTGTGCTATAAACACTGAAGTTCATAGAGGCATTTGGCATTTATCCTATTTTTGAAAAAGAGTTATGCATCAAATAAAAAGCAAACCACTTCGATGTCAGAATGTCACAATGATTCTGAAAATAAATTATTCTACTGAACATTTAAGAAAAAATAATAATACAGAAAAAATATAATAATAACACAGAGATAAGATGCCCCATCTAGCATCAGGAGAATTTCTAATATCTATAGTTTTCATATAGTGCTTAAACTACAGTAATAATCAACCGTATGAGAGCAAGCAAATTCAATATCATGTATTTTTATTAGTTAAAGCCTGACACAGAAATGTGTGTTTGGTTAGTGCATGAATGAGATCAGACAACTTAGAAGAAATATGGAATGAGACCTATATCCCATGGACAATCCTTTGAATGGGGCTTTTTAAACTGACACATGTAAAGAGCCTTTTGCTAGCCTTTAGCATCTCACGGTCCTGCTGAAATATGACACTTTTGTATTTGTGTGTGTTTTTATACTCCAACTTATTACAAAAACAATTAGCTAAAACTTCTATATGTAATGCAATAATATAGGACAACAAAGGAAAAATTGCAATAAAATTAATCCAAAATTTAGATAGAAAAAGACACAAATTGAAAGGTATGCTTGACCCAGAAATGCATATCTTGAGTTGCTATACGATTTATTAGAGTACACTACCAAAACTTTT